ATGGGCATTTCTCTTTCATTTGAGGCTGAATTACCAGAGATTCTGGAAAAAAGAAAGCAAAGCAAAAGCAGCTTCATTTATATACCGCTTCATATCACGCTATGGGATGTCTAAGTGGTTTACAACTGTCAGCTCATTGCCCCCCAACAATTGGGTACTCATTTTAGCGACCTTGGAAGGATGCAGGCCTGAGTCTAGCCTGAGCCCTGGCTAGTACTGAACTCACAACCTTGTGGTCTATGAGTGAGTGGCTGCAGTACAGAAGCAGACATCTTATTTTGGGGGCTGTTATCCTGCAGCCATTTACAAAGTATATTAGGAAGACAGGGTTGCATATTTGCCACCACTAGCTAAATGTGTCTTGCAAAGTAATCATTCTCTTATAAACCACTTTTGTCTCATATTTTGTTCTGTTTCCACTTAGCTCAGACTCAAACTTCCTTTTAATTCAGGCTTGGACTGATGAAAGTTGCAGCCTAAAACCTTATGAAGGCACAAAGTTTGCCAAACCTAACTATGGGGCTCTGCAGACAGCGCAAAGCACCATCTTGGAGCCAGGGGAGGGGAGGGGCAGCCGGACACCCCAACCCCTTCCCGAGGATGTCATTGGAGGGCGCGCCGTTGCGCATAGTGAGCGCTCCGATGATGTCCTTCCGATGCAGCCTCCACACAGGCTGAGCCAGAAGGAGCGGCATTTTAGTGCTCCTTCTAGGGCGGGCAGAAGGGTGTATTGGGGTTGCTGCATGTGTTATCAGCGGCCCCAATACTCTGCTTCTCAGGGTGGCCCACGGCCGCCCGTCTGCTCTCCCCCTATATTGAACTGAAAGAAACTGAGAGAAATATGCTGCTGATTCTGCTGTTGTTGTTGCTGCTGATGTTGCTGCTGCTGGAGGAGGAAAAAGAAACATAAGGCAACCTGCTTGGAGTGGCAAGGAGATTCAAGCTGAGAAAAAACTGTCCTGCCTCCAGCTGCCAGCAAAGTATTTTACTTTCACAGCTGCTTGAAACTAGCAAACCATGCTAGGGAGGTTTGCTCTTGTTGCCCTCCCAAATCAGTCAATCAATCTGACACTAACCTATATTTTCTTATGGATACTCTTCATTCTCATTCATATACTACAGCACTTGTATATTTGGAAAGACAATATATACGTGCAAAAACTATGGATGCTGGCCATGAAAGCCTTTGACTTCACAATATATATTATTAGACACACTGCATCAATGGAATATACATATGAAATTGGCTTACTATTCAAAAATTGATTCAGTGGGCCAATTTGTACTTGACCAACCAACAGGATTGTCAGCCTAACCTATCATCATGATCATCATCATCATCATCTTATTTACTTATATCCTGCCTTTCTCCCAATATAGGGACTCAAGGTGGTGAACAGCAAGTTTAAAACAATACAATTTTAAAAAATACAGAAGCATGAAAATGTATAAATACAGTTGCCTCTCCCAATTTTGGAGGGGGGGGAAATCCATTCTGGATCCCCCTGTGAAAATGGCAGCTCGCTAATATTCGAGCCCCATTGAAACTAGTGGTGCATGCACATGGCCATTTTAGGTATAACTGTTGTCCCTCCCTGCGAAGAGTGAGACTGCGGGCCTCAAGTCCATGAACAGGGAGGGACAACTGTATAAAATTAAAAAACAACAACACTTAAAACAGTTTTAAAAGTTAAAGCAATTATGCATTAAAATTTAAAATGCATTAAAATCTCTGTACAAACCTTACAATCTGAATGATACAGATTTATAGCCCAACCTTGATCAGACTGGGCCCAGTACAGGGTGTTGGTTATCACCTATAAAGCCCTAAATGGCTTGGGTCCAACCTATCTTCGAGACCACCTCCTCCCATACAATCCACCCCGTGCACTTCGGTCCTCTGGGAGGAATTTGCTACAGTCGAAAAAATCAAGACTATCTGCAACCTACCAGAGGACCTTCTCGATGACGGCTCCCAGACTATGGGATGGCCTGCCGGATGAGATTCATCATATTACGACCTTAGACAACTTTAAAAGGGCTGTCAAGATGGATCTCTTCTGGCAGGTCTTTCCCGATTAGTTTTCTTGGTCCCAAGAGCCAGCCCATCTGTATGTCTATTACTTCCTGCAGCACTCATTGTTGCTGCCGTTTACTCTGCAGACAGTCAGCACACTGCTCTATTTTAAACATTCTTTTAATCTGTGGTTATTTAATTATTTTTAAGGGGTGGGAGGGTTTGGGTTTTGGGATTGATCTTATTGTGCTGTATTTTTATGCTGTAAGCCACCCTGATTGCTTCGCAAAAAGGTGAGATATAAATAAATTTTATTATTAGTAGTTGTATAATAAAAAGCCTGACAGCACAAGGATATTTTTATATGCTACCAAAAGGGCAGCAGGGATAGGACCATCCTAGGCTCTCTAAGGAGGGAGTTCCAGAACCTGGGAGCAGACATTGAGAAGGACCTCTCCCTTGTTCCCACTTAACGTGTCTGAAAGGGTGGTAGGTCAGAGAAAAGGAACTCTTCGGAAGATCTCAACACTCTGATGGGCTCATAAAGGGAGATATGGTCCTTCAAATAACCTGGACCCAAGCTGCATAGGGTTCTATAGGTCAAAACCAGCACTTTGAATTCTGCCTGGAAACATACTGGCAGCCAGTGGAGCTATTCCAACAAGGGTGTTGGATGCTCTGTGTAGCCAGCTCCTAACTGCAGCTCTTTGGACCAACTGAGGCTTCTGAGCACTTTTCAAAGGCAGCCCCATGTAGAGCATATTACAGTAATCCAAATGGGATGAAACCCAGGCATGTACCACCATGGCCAGGTCTGATTTCACCAGGAATAGGTGGAGTTGGCACACTAGCTTTAACTGTGCAAAAGCACTCCTGGTCACTGCTGAAACCTGGTCTCTAAGCTCAGAGTTGAATCCAGGAGTACCCCCAAACTACAAAGCTGAGTTTTCAGGGACAGTGTAACCCCATCTAACAGGATGAATCCCTATTTCCAGATCTGTCTTTTGACTGACCAGGGGCACCTCTGTCTTCTCTGGATTAAGCTTCAATTTGTTTGCCCTCATCCAGTCCATTACAGCTACCAGGCACCTGCTTAGGAGAGGAACAGCTTCCTTGGAATTAGGTGTAAAGGAATGATAGAGGTGGGTATCATCAGCTTACTCCAAAACTCTGGGCAAACTCTCCCAGTGGTTTCAGGTAGATGTTAAACAGCATAGGAGACAACACTGAGCCCTGAGAGACCCCACAAGCCAATGGCCAAGGAGTCAAACAGGAAACCCCCAGCACCACCTTCTGAGAGCACACCTCTAAGGAAGAATGGAGCCAATGTAAAACAGTACCTCCAGACCCCATCCCAAAGAGGCAACTCAGAAAGATACCATGGCTGATGGTATTGAAAGCCACTGAGAGATCCCTGGAGAACCAACAAGGACACATCCCCCCTCCCCATCCAGTTCCCTGTGCAGACCATCCACCAAGGTGATCAAAGTTGTTTTTGTCCCATAACCATGCCTGAAACAAGACTGACAGGGATCTAGATCTCCTCTCAGGAGATTAACCCACATGGATTTTAAACCTCAGTTACAGTTGGAAAAAAGTGCCTTTGACAATACTTATCCCATGCCACAATCTCCAACCTGTAGCTGTTGTGTCTCCAAAGCATGGTTAGGGTGTCTCTTTACATTGATGGGAGAAACCCATCATTAAGCTCATGAGCATGCTAATCTTCAGGTGTGAAATGTCCCTACTAGGGCAGTTGTGATATTGGCAGTCATGTAGTCTCAGTGTCTCCTCCTCTCCCTCTGTCCCCACTCCCCAGTTATTCCCAAGCAGTCTGATTTCATCTAATTTTTCTTCTATTTCTTTTTGTCTTTTACTTACGACCAAGCAGTGAGTGAATTTCCCCCCCACCTGCTGCCACATTCTACTATACTACTCAATGCTAGTGCGCTGGTTATTAGACTGGTTTAACAGTCAATGTTGTTAATTAATATAATTGTTTATTGGTTGTAACTTGTTTTAATTCTGTGATGTTTAATACTGTTTTAATGGGAGGGTGGGTTTGGGTTGGGGAGGGCTCATTGTGAGATTTTATTATTGTAAGCCACCCCAATTGCTTCAGTAGATGGGCAGGATAGAAATAAATTTTATTATTATTATTATTAAATCACATTAGCAGAACTGTGGAATTGCATGAAAAAATAAAAATAAAAATATTAAAAACTCAAAGGCATATTGGGTATGGCATAGGACAGAAAAGCAGGGCTAAAACAGAGTCCAGAAGAGAGCATGATGGAGAAGCATTTCTAGTCTCACAATTGACAAGACAAGCATAATAAAAAAGAAAAAAAAAAGAAAAAAGAAAAGCAATCTCTCCTCAGTCTAAGTAACATCTTCTCACATTTCAAGTAGGGTATCCAATACTTACCGGGTCAAAGCTACAGTAGGTCACCTGGCACCCAAAATGTGCTGTAGCAACGGTGATACAGAACTCCAATGAGCTGAACAAGAAGAGCAGGACACAGAGTCCAGTACCTAAAGACTGAATATGGTAAGAGGTTTATTTTTATGAAAATGGGTCTTTTGAGGAAACGACATCTCATGTATATAACTCTTGGTTCTATTGCAAAGTTTAAATAACTCTTGGCTCAGTTGCAACATTAAGAAGTGCATGACTAAATATAAAAAGAATTTGGGGCTCTTAAGGAATTTGGGGCACCTGTGGTGATGAACTATAGGGTCAAGAAGTCTGCCTGGCATCTTATTTATACAATATTAGAAAGTGGGGGGGGTGCACCTCTTGGGGAAATGTTGTTGTTGTTGTTGTTGTTGTACCTTTAAGTCATTTCCAATTTATGGTGACCCTAAGGTGAACCTATCACAAACTTTTCTTGGCAAGGTTTTTTTTTTTTTTTTTTTTTTTTTTGCCTTCCTTTGTGTCTGAACAAGGATGACTTGCCCAGGATCACCTAGTGGGTTTCCATGACAGATCAGGAATTTGAACCCTGGTCTTCAGAATCCTAGTCCAACACCATAACCTCTACACTATGCTGTCAAAAATATTGGGTAAGAAGCTGGGCAGGGACCTTCTTAGACTACAACATCACATGCAGGTTCTACAAACATGTTTGACACTGTCATGTTGATAGTAGCATTTGGGTTACACACCCAAGGGGGGAAATATGATTTGAGCTTCATGTCTTTTACCTCACATGTGAATGTCAATATTTTAAGGCAGAACAAAGAAAAGCTATAAAATGCATTATGTTAAATCTTTCATCAGACATTTAGAATCATAGAATCATAGAGTTGGAAGAGACCACAAGGGCCA